GGAAGGAAGGAAGGAAGGAAGGAAGGAAGGAAGGAAGGAAGGAAGGAGAGACAATGGATGGAAGATCACTAAAGATAGATCCAACCTAGAACTAAGAAGAAACTTCCTGACAGTGAGAACAATTAATCAGTGGAACTACTTGCCTCCAGAAGTTGAGGGTGCTCCATCACTCTGGGTTTTTAAGAAAATACTGGACAGCCATTTGTCTAAAACTGTATAGGGTCTCTTGCTTGAAAAGGGGGTTAGACTAGAAGACCTCCAAGGTCCCTTCCAACCCTGCTATTATGTATTCTGTTGGACTTCTCCTCTAATTATTAGACATAAGGTGGCCATTCCAAACATCTGTTTCACAACAGCACCTTTGGAAGAATCACCAACCTGAGAAGAAATTGTATCTTGACGTTACTTCTCCACCATTATTCGCGCAAATTCTTCATAGTTGACCTTCCCGTCCCCTTTCCTGTCCATCTCCTTGATCAACAGCTTCACCTCTTCGTCCGTCAGCTTCTCCCCAACGGCGGTCAAGACGTGTCGCAGCTCTGCCGTGTTGACGTAGCCGTCTCCATTCCGGTCAAAGACGCGGAAGGCAGCTTGGATCTCTTCCTTGGTGTCGGAATGCCTTGTCCTCCTGGCCATCACGGAGAGGAACCTTGGGAAATCTACTTTGCCCTTGTAGGCCTCGATCTCACCGACGATGCTCCGCACCTCAGATTCCGTGGGGTTTTTCCCGAGGGATCTCATCACGGTCACCACCTCCTTGGAGGTGATCAGCCCGTCGCCATCTTGGTTGAAGAGCGCAAAGGCATCCTTGAGTTCCCTCAGGTCTCCCTCCGAGAGCCGGTTGGCCATGTTGCTTCTCGGATCCCACAGGCACGTCAGTCGTTCTTCTCAAACACAACACACACACACACGCACAACTCATCCTCCTTGGAGAAACAGGAAAAACTGGTGGAGGATGTGGTGAAGGAACGAGAAGGATCACTCCTCTCGCCCTGCAGGCTTGGATGTGGGTCGGTCGGTGTGAGAAAACATCACGTAGGGAAGGTAGGCCTCCAGAAGTACGTAGAAGTTAGTTTAGTTAGTTAATTAGTTTACTTTACTGTCATTGCACCTCATACAATGAAATCAAACACCATCTTCAATGCACATCATGACCATGAAAATAAACATCCTTCACACTCCACATATTGAAATGAAAACCCCTGATATCACACCAACACTACACTATACAGCAGAATTCAACCGAGCTACTGCCTTGGGATAAAAGCTGTTTTTCAGCCTATTTGTCCTTGTTTTTATTATTATCCTGTGCCGTCTGCCAGATAATAATAGTTTAAAAAAAAAAAAGGAGGTGCCCAGGATGAGATGGATCTTTGAGAATGTTTTGAACTTCCTTAAGGTAAGCAGGAGCTCTAAAGCTCTTCCAAAGAGGGGAGAGGGCAACCAATGGTCCTCTGGGGGATGACATTAACCCTCTGGAGCGCTTTCCTATCGGCCCCTGTGCAATTGGCAAACCATACAGAGGAAAGTCACCAGCAGTTCTCCATTCGGTTGTTGTTTCCTGAGAAGTCTCAGGTAATATAATCTCTGCTGGACCTTTTTGACCAGGGCTGCAATGCGAGCCCCCCAGGTCAGGTCCTCTTTTAGGGTAACACCCAGAAACTTAAAACTGGCCACTTGCTCCCCTTGGTCTCCCTTGAGAAGCAAAGGGCTGGAGGTTTGATCTGTTCCTTCTATATAGTCCACTATCAGCTCCTTGGTCTTATTGGTGTTGAGGACCAAGTTATTATCTCCACACCACGAAAGCAACTGGTCCACCTCATCTCGGTAGACAGATTCATCCCCCCCCCCCCGGAGATAAGTCCCACCACTGTTGTATCATCTGCAAATTTAGTAATAGTATTACTAGCGTCAGTGGGAATGCAGTCATGCCCATAAAGAGTATAGAGTAAGGGACTCAACACGCAACCCTGTGGTGTACCAGTGTTAAGAATAAGGGCTGAAGAGGTATGATTACCTAATCTGACCCTCTATGAGCGGCCAGACAGGAAATCCATAATCCAAAGGCAGATTGAATAAGGAAGTCCACTAACCTATGTGGAAGGTGCTCCGTGCTAAATTTTCAAGGTCTTCCACTTCATTCCACTTCATTATTTGGATATACAAATAATCCTCAATTTACGACCACAGTCTAGCCCAGAATTTCTGCTGCCAAGTCAGACAGTTGTAAAATGAATCTTTTCCCCATTTAACAACTTTTCTCACCATAGTCGTTGAGTGAATCAAGGCAGTTGCTCAGTTAGTAACACGATTGTGAAGTGAATCCAGCTTTTTTATTGACTTTGCTTGTCAGAAGGTCGCAAAAAGGGGCCCGCGAAACAATGCCACTGTCATAAGTACATGCCAGTTGCCAAGTGTCTGAATTTTGATCACGTGACCAGTGGTGGGATGCAAATTTTGGAACAACTGGTTCTCTGGCTGGGTAGGCAATGTGTGGCCAGTTGGTCATGTGACTGTGTGGGTGATGTCACTCATCACACCCAGCCCCGGTTCTCGGCCACTCGCCTCAAAGGAAGAGGTAGGATTCAGCCGGTTGGGGCTAATCCCACCAATGGCTGGCCTGAAAATGACTTTAAAAATGGCCAGAAAATAACCTGGAAATAGCCAGAAGGCCTGAAAACTGCCCCCAAAATGGCCTGAAAATGGCCAGGAAATGACCTGAAAACGGCCTGAAAAACACCCCAAAAATGACCTGAAAATGGCTCAAAAATGGCCTGAAAATGGCCTGAAAGATGGCCTGGAAATGACCTGGAAATGGCTCAAAAATGGCCTGAAAAATGTCTTGAAAAATAGCCTGAAAATGGCCTGAAAAATGGCCTGAAAATGCCCCCAAAATTGCCTGAATATGGCCCGAAAACTGGCCTAAAAACCGCCTGTTTTTCAGGTTTTTTTCAGGTTGTTTTTTGGGGCTGTTTTCAAGTTGTTTTTCACCTGAAAAACAGCTGAAAACGGCCTGAAAAACAGGCGGGGCGGGGCCAGATGGTGGTCCAATTTGCTGATTATCCGAACTGCTCAGAATTGGAACAAGGGGTTCCGGCGAACCCGTCCGAACCTGCAGCAGCAGCCCACCTCTGCACGTGACCCTGGAAGATGCTAGAATGGCTGTGTGAAAAAAAGTTCTTAAATCGCTTTTGTAAGCGATGTGGAAACTTCGAACGATCACTAAACAAATAGTCAATGGAAGAGCGTCCGTAGTTTGGGCTTTATGTTTTGTCAGTGGTTCTCCTAACAAAATGATCTTTCCCACGCAGCAGCAAATTGGTTAAAAATAGATCTGAAGAAACGAAAAGTTCCCCAAAAGAGGCAGAAGTTTGAAGCTTTCCATGTGGATGCAAGATGGAAAAAGCGAACAAGTCAGCAATGGGCATACCGGCGTGTTTAAAATTCTTCGAGCGCTGTTCTAATTAAAAACCCATTGCGCTTAATTTTGCCTCTTCTGTTTTCTCTTGCGTTCACTTTCCTTTGCAGAAAAGCATGTTGCTTGCAAAGATGCAGCTGCAGAAGTGGTCCAGATAGTGTTAAGTATCAGGGGGTGCAGATAACTAACCATCAGAACTAGTCTCTCCACATGTTGTCCTTTGTGAAGCGCGCAAACCAGCGCCGGCGTTTCCTGCATCGGATGAGGAGACCACCTCTTTCTCCTACTGTCCTGGCCACTTTTTACCGAGGCGCGATGGAGAGCGTTTTAACCAGGGGTGGGATTAACTGGTGTTACAACCGGTTCGGTGAGAGTGCATTTTGTGTGCACATGTACAGCGTTTGCAAAAAAATCATCAACTGTGATGCCCAGACAGCTGACAAGCGCTGTGCGCAGGTGTGCAGCATTTGAAAATCCACTTCTTTCCCGCTTTTACAACCTCTGCTGTGCCGCATAAAGCAGTTGAGGTTGAAAAAGCAGGAAATAAAGGACAGCCAAGAGCCCGGGCGGGCGGGTGGGCCAAACAGACAACCAGAAAGTCGTTGCAGTGAACCAGTTTGGTGTCAGCTGCTCTTCGAAGCTACCGGTTCTATAGAACCGGGCCGAACCAGTAGCATCCCCACCCCTGGTTTTAATAAACCACATCCCTGTTTGGTTTGGTGGCAGCAGTGCCTCAGATCGAAAGTCCCTACGGAAAGTGGTGAGGACAGTGGAGAAGAGTATAGGAAGCTCACTTCCCATTATTCAAGATGCAGCTTATAAGCGCTGTGTGCTTAAAGCTTGAAGCATTGTTAGAGACCCCCACACACTCACTTTATGGCCTACTACAGTCTACAGTCCACTTTACGGAACTGCTAAGTTGGCAGAAGCTGGGACAAGTAACGGGAGCTCACTCCGTGACATGGCGCTTAGGGATTCAAACCGCCGAACTGCCGACCTTTCTGATTGACAAGCTTGGCGTCTTAGCCACTGAGCCACCATGTCCCATACTATATCACACTATATCACACTATATCACACTATAGCAATGTCAAATTTAGTTCTATAAATATAAAGCATAGCATGAACTAGCTTCAACACCCAGCATATTTTTGCAATTTCACACTTACGACTGTCGTCGCATCCACGCGCTCATGTGATCAAACTGGCAACTGACTCGTATTTACAACGGTCGCAGCGTCCCAGCTGTGTGACTGACTTCATGATCGTGGTGCTTCACTTAACAACCGGGGCAAGAAAGGTTTTTCCAAGGGAGGGGAATTCAAGTGACCACTATCTCAGCAACAGAAACATTGGGCTCCTTTGTGGTCATAAGTCGAGGACTGACCAAGCTTCTGTTTTTTTGAGGAATTTTCCACACAATGGGCAAGTTCTCCCCTCCAGACAAAAATTGTTGGACATAATAAAAACAGGGAAAGCATGTTTGCCGGTGGAGATAATGTTCCACGCCGTTGTTTTACTTTTCTTTGGAAATTCCTGACCTTCGCTCTCTGTTTTAATGAAGGCCACGCTCACTTCTTTTCCAAAACGTGAGCGTGCCAGCCATTAAAAAAAGGAGGAAAAAAAAGAGAAAGGGAAAAAAAAGTGGGGTTTTATTTTTCCGACATGGAAAGCTTCAGGCAGACCCCTGCCTTCCATTTAATTCCCTCCAGATGTATTAAATCACGTCCTGGAATCGCTCACCGGCTGAGGGAGAAAAATATGACATTTCTCCACCCCCCAAAAAAAGTTTCCCTTACCCCCCAAAAAATGATTGCAGTGGGTCCCTGAGGAAGGAAAGGGTCTGGGGTAGCAGCAAAAGAGAGTAAAAAAATCACATCCACCCAACTCGTGGCCGGGAGCCAAATGACCTCAACCCAACCGTAGACTTCCTTCCATCTCTCATTGTGGATTTGAGACAGGTTTAAAATTGGGAACTTTGGGGAGACAAAGCATCAAAAGCTCTGATTTGCACATTTCCACGGCTTATTATTTTTTTAAAAAAAGAGATAAAAGGAGAGGTTCCCCTCGTAGATATGTGCTAGTCATTTCTGGCTTTAGGGGGCTCATCTCTGTTCCAAAGCCAAAGAGCCGGCGCTGTCCGGAGACATCTCCGCGGTCATGTGACCAGCAGGACTCAACGCCAAAGAAGGCAAATGGAGAAACGCTGTTACTTTCCCACCAAAGGGGGTCCCTATTTTTCTACTTGCATTTTTGTACATGTTTTCGAACTGCTAGGTTGGCAGAAGCTGGGACGAGTAACGGGAGCTCACTCCGTGAAGCGGCACTAGGGATTCGAACCTCCAAACTACCGACCTCTCTTTTTTTGGCCCAAACATGGAAATGAAAAGAAATACCTAATGATGAAATAATAATAATAAAAAATTTTACA